TGTTTCGCGATCATTTGTTTTTCACGCCGTCGACTATTTGGGTCTAAGTCATGCTGTTTTCCCTCAATGTATGAGCGAGAATTAATGCGCAGATATACTGAAAGTCCATTGGTGCACAGCCGGGGATCAAACCTCATGGCTCAGGGATGAGAGCCGTACGCTGACAGGGTATTACTGCTCTAGAGTGATTTAACAAGAATGTGTATAACATTTACAGTCTACACGTAATGTAAAAGCTTCCCCTTTCTATGGACCTACCTTTCTAACTCCTGTTGCGAGCAGTTATATCCAATTATGTAAAACACTAAATGACAATATAATAATAAATGTCACGCATACAAATTAGATACTTAGTACTGTTAGTACATTTGGAGGTTGTGAAATATAGTTACCTTATTATATAATAAAGATGCTTCTGATACTAAAGAGTTTAATGAATAGCCATTAAAATAAAATAGCATTTATTAATAGAATTTAAATTCAAAGTTAACTTTTGCTATTATCAAAACGCTTTTAATATTAAAAGATTGCTAACCCGAAAAGTCCTTAAACGAGTCCTTACGAGTATAAAATCTCAACATCGTTTTCCTTAAGCGATGACAGTATAATTTCGTATCCTAAACTAATGATTACCATTTATAAAATCAACATCATAACGAGCCAAAAAACCATAACAAAAACTAATTGTGGGTTCACGCACGCGATTCACGTGTCAAATAACTTGTTACTGACCCTAGCAAATAAATTCATAATCCCGCTTATAATAGATTTAAATAGCATGAAATATACTCATTTTTTGTTCGCAAACAGCGGGGCACAATCGCCGATTACCACAATGCATATGAGCGGTTATAATAGTCATAATTCGGTGTTTTTCGAAGGGTTATATGTGGGGTAAGTTGGTAAATTGGATTTAATATTTTGTGTGAAATTGAACGCTCATTTAAGGGTTATTAAAGGGTTAATCTGAAGTTGTTATCTGTTACAATGTTTTCATAAGTGTTATAAGAAATTGAATTGTTCAAACCTTTTTGTATAGATTGGATCATCGCAAGACAATGCGTGTAATACTAACGTTTTATTTCATAAAACGACTCGTCTAGGAAAAGGATACACAGTTCTCTATAACAGGTCCGATTGTGATTACGTGCGACTGTTATGTTACTTGTTTGTATTAGCCTTCGTATTCTGTAGTTTATAGCATTATTACACTATGTCTTTTGTTTTAAACAAATGAATCTAAGTACGTTTAAAGTGAATCGATAAACGAGATTATTTTTCATATCTTTGGAATATTAATCGTCTATAGCAGAAATTATGAAAGTTAATTTTTGTTTTATTCCTTTTACTCTTTCAAAGGATATTAAATTTAAAGTTTAATCTTGTAAAAATATTCTTAATACCCAATGCGAGGACGAAAAGGAATGAAAAATCATCAGTCTGAATTCGGCGATTTCAATATAATCGAAAAAAATACAAAACTATTAATTCATTCAGTTAATTAAGGGTAATCGCAACAGATTTACATTCAGCTAACTAACAAAATAAGTTCTCTCAAAAATTTAAGCGGAAAAGTCTTAGGCTAGGAACAAAAAGGGGGCTTGAAAAGCGAAAAAGCTAGAAAGAAAACAAAACGCTCACACACAATAGTCGGAATGAAGTAAGCCTGAGTAGCTGTACGTATGCAGTGCCTTTAAATGTTAGGGTTGCCACTCTTCAGATATTAATTGGGTTGTGGGGGTTTCAACAATACAAATTACATCCATCGAGTGAAGGAAGCCGATTTCGAATGTCGTTGTTTAGCGAGATAAGATTTGTAGAGTTAATATTTTCATTCCTGTTCTGCTTAAAAGTTTCGAAAATACTTTCCTGCCTGACCAGTCTCAGTTTTAAAGTTCATTTACTCCCGTAGACTCCCGTATATAAAAATGCAATTCTTTACCTTATACATCAGTACCTTCTTCGTAATAATACTGCAATAACAAATCTAGCAATTTTTCGTAAAATAATAAGCCTATGTCACTTCTAACTCAAGTTTAAGTTCTGTCAAATTTATGTGATGATTGACAGTATAAGTAAGATTTCATAATTCAGCTCTGTTTAAGACTGATTTAATTTTTAACTGTTTCCATTGATTGAACTTTTATATTTCATTTCATTTGTACTCGTAAGTACACATATGCTATAATTGGCTAAAACTGAAATGTTAGACAGCCCTATTTGGCAGAGGTAACTGGGGCATATGGAGGGAGGCGGGTTGAAATAGGACGTTCTAGGCAATTACCATGCGAGGATAGACTCGTATCTCCCAGGTCTTATACAAAATGGTAAATGGTGCACTTCGCAAGTTTCAGCTTTAATATATTATTATGCTATGTTTTGTTGGTGCGGTGCGAATGTTCATTATTTTAATTAGCTGTAGTGTTCGATTTTCAAATTGGATTTCGGCGAGCTTTGCTTAAACCTTCATTTATAAACGCCTGTCTTATTAAGCTTTAAATACTTCAGTGCTTTTAGTTTTGGCTGCAATAAGAATCTGTGTAGGACTATAAAAAAACCAGTGTCGTAAAAACCTTTTTCGGTTTGGGCCTCATATTTTTGTATTTGTTTCATGATCCTACGACCTCAGGGGTAAGAGTTGCATACTGAAGCCACTAGGCCAACACTGTTTTGGGTGTGTGAATATAGCGAGTTTAAATATATCACAATCATTTTCCAATACGGTGAAAGGGTTGGTTTCTTTACATCAGAATTTTTAGTATTTAGGTGAACACGCTAGCAGTTTATGTGTGCCTGTGTCTTTGGATTTTTAATGATTCATGGATGAGTAATCCAATCCGATTTAAATAGGTAACTTAAAAGAACTTCAAACTAGTTCTCAGTTAATTAGTATGAATAAAAATTTATTATATTTCTTTTTTGTCACCCGGCAAACGGGCAGTAGACTCACCTTATGTTAAGTGACCGCCACCCATATACACTCACATTGCCAGATGGCTCGCAAGTGCGTTGCCGGCCTTTTAAGAACGCTCGCTCTTGAAGGTCCCAAAATATGATGTATTTTCACATGCATATTTTTTATATTCTACACTATACATGTTAGAAATGTCACGCGGTTTCACCTGAGTTTATTATGTAATAGTTCATAAACTATCGAACACAATTTTTTAAAATAATTTCGTAATTCCTGAGATTGCGCGATCAAAATTTTTTCTGAGATTTTAATATTTTAAAGTGATAACATAATTGTAATGTTGATGTTTTTGAAAAAGCATTCGTGTTTAGTACATAGAAGTCGTAAACACAAGTACGAAGATATGCACTTCATCTAGTTAAGGGTGGCAAAAGTAATACTTTTAAAAGCATTCCCTTTATCCAGGCTCTCATTGTTGGCGCCGACGTATCTTGGGGGATATTGATATATTCCATATTTTAGCTACGGGGAAAATTATAAGATATCTATATAAAGAGTCGATATAAACTTAAGTATACGTAGCTTTAAAAACATTGTTTACGCTATATAAAACAAAAGTCTAGTAAATTTAACTACTTACTAAAATTAGTTTTATTTTTGCAATACGATGAAATATCGTTAATCTTAAACACAAAAAACTGTCAGGTACAGAAGACTGACACATTCTATTTTCTCTGATCTAGAAAGAGAAATAATCACCGAAATAGATGCAGATATCAAAGGTCAAACAGAGTGATAAGAGTTGTAGCGCCACTGGATTGTGTGACCTATTATTAATTGGTCAAATTTAATATATATATTTTTGTACAATGTTAGGCGGAATTTCCAGAGTAAAATTAATTAGTATTGTAGATGTGTAGCGTCGGATACTTAAAAGCTTCGCACGCGCAGGCCCAAAAGCAGCCGACAAATTATTCATGTAATCACTTCCGAATCATATTGAGTCGAATTGTTAACTTAAATATGACTCAGAGTTGATAAAGATTTCTGATTAAAATAATAAATCAAATCAAGATAGGATTATAATTATATCAACTATATATAAATTCTCAAGTAATGGTCACCTACAGCCACGAAAGTTACATCTTTCCAAAATTCTAACGAAGTTATACAGAACAAATTAAAGCACTATTTTTCATAAATCAAATATTTATGATTATGTATCAGACAAACACAGAGAATGCGGACTAGCTTCCTGCGAAGGCTGTACAAAAGCCTTGAATTTTGACAGGTTGAAAAATTAATAGGTGCCTCATAATTATAATTGGCGGAATGAGACAAGATTTCTGGGAAACATCGGTCAAGGATTTAAGTTAATAAGTTATGTATATGAACAATTTTACTATAAAGTCTAGAAATAATTCCGAACATACGATGTTATAGTAAACCAACTGAGCATTTTACAACTTGAAATACGCAGTGAGCAAACAAGCTACTAAATGAAAGAACGAGTACATCTCAAAAAGCGCTCGCTAAGCACACGTCAACAGAATAAAGAAAACTCCGCGGATTTACACTTAAACCGGAAAAAATTGTGATTACACTCCCTCCGAACGACGCGGGAATAAAAAGAAATCTCCTAAAACGTCATTACGGACATAACTCCACTGTCCCCAGAATACATCTCCCATACAAAATACTTTAAGCGGAAACCCCATACGCATCATGACTCGACAATAGACGAAACCAGTATCTCCAGTAATAAAAGCACCGAGCGCTCACATTAAAATCTTATCCCTTTCTTAAATAAAAAATTCGCGAAAAAATAAGAGTGGATACCTCCCCTCTATTATTCAGAACACCCCATCTCCCCCGCTCCGTATGAACGTTGAACGCGTGTGAAGAAAATTCAAAGAAAATCTAACTTTAGTACTACGATGTAAAGATACTATTGCCGTGTCGAGGCCGATAAGAGATCGATCGAAACTCGTTTCTATATCCGCTATATACAGTTCAAAATCGTGTGTAATAGAATGGGTATTTTGCAGGGAAATAGCGGCTTTGGTCGTTAGATATTTAAAATGAGATGCAGCGCTGGGGTGGGGTGGAAATCCGAATTACCGGGGCGTATGTAATGATTTTCCCGGACGGAATTATGCCTCGGTATCGGAGACGAATTCGAGACTGGAAATTGGATGTTCTTTTTAAGTCGGAAACGAGGGTTACCAATGGATCGATAGAAATGTTTCTGGTCGAAATAACTAATGCTATTGTGAAGAGCTTCGAGTTTTTAATTGAAGATTTTATGTACTCTGGGGATTATTCTATTGGTTTCATCTTATATTTAGCTATCGCTATGTGATATACCCCTTAGCATAAGCCTGAACTTAATTAACTACGTTATGCATGATTTAAATAAGAAATGAAGTATGAATCTCTTTTAAATATGAAGTCTAGCGAATAAATTATTTTATCTGAACTGTGTAGACATTTTCTTTATAGTACTGAGTTTAAGTTAATCATAGAAAATAGGTTCTAAGGGGAGATTTGGCACTGGAAGGCTCGTCTGGGTCATCAAACTCTTTAGATAACGAAGCCCGAGCCACGACGGTACGTGGCCGTGATGTGTCGTGGTGATATGTATAATTGGGATAGCGATAGCTTGGGAGACATGCCCTTTGGCCTTTTTAATGGCTGTTCCGGGTTACGAGGTTCCTTGTTGTATTGTGGTTATGATGAGTGTGACAAGTATAAGAATTCCATTTTTTTAAAATACCTGCAATTGCGTGGTATGAAACGACAGGTTCTGTATTATAGAATTCCAAACTTGAATCTACTTTCTAGTGCATTTTTTTTAGATACATTTCAAATGCTTTCGAGTGACATATCTGACCAATAATAATAATTTGAATGTCTAAGATTTATTAAATTTTCGTTTCGTTTGGTTTCATTTAATAAGTTTATTATGTAGTTCTTCGTATCAGGCATAAACCGATAAGTATATTTTTAAATTATATAAAAATAAATACATATCGCCCTATGAATCAAATGCCTTTATATTTAACATTACATTTGTAAGCGATTTCATACTATGTTATTTGAAGCATTGTGTAGTAAAAAATACTATATTTAATTCGTGATTTTTCTTATCAGTTATCTTGGCATGACTCGTAAGAGGATCCCAACTGCATTTCATACATTTCGTATCTCTACCAGTTTATTTTTTGAAACTAAATCGGTAATCATTGCACAGTTGAGTTTGTTACATATTATACCTTCACACAATTTTGTGTATTTTAATTTTTTTTTTCTTTAAATAAATATTAATGTAAAATATTATAAAGACGAAATAATTGTATTTTGTATATTAGTATTATAAAAATAAAAATTACTGGTTCGATTTAAAGAGTTTTTTTATCGCTTTAATTCGATCTCAGTCCATACAACATGATACATGAAAAGTGTTCAACCACTGAGCCACGGAGCCGGTGCGTCAGAGACATAATGGATACTGTATGCGCAAAGGAAATGTGTGAATCTATGTCAACTCCTGCGCAGTAGACAGATAAACGTACTTATAATTACACCGGACGATGCTAAATATATCTCGAGTACGTGATAAGATTCTATAAGGGTTTTATTGGGCGATAAAATACAATTAAATTATTAATAATTGTTATCGACAATATGGAAAATTACTATAGTGTTTGAAGAATGCACGTGCAAAGTTCAAATATATAGTATTATTTTAATACATAGACCACGGATTTTTAATATACCGAATCCATCTCCAAGTTCACAGCTATGAGAAACGCTGAAGAAATGTTTTTGTGTGTACAAAATAACGGAAGAGGAAAAAAACTAACAATGTTTAAATTTCCCGCTTAAGACAAGTGAATCTCCGGCTGAAATCTTTTTATACGGGATTTACTTAGGTTTATGTAAGACATTCATAATTCAGCTTTAATAAAATGAATAAATGTGCATAAGGCAGGTTTAAATTGAAGTAAGATGATAAGTTTTAGGTATTTTTAAAATCTTTGTTACATATTCATACAGCAATCAAGACTTGGTTGATCTAACCCGCGGCCTTTCATACAAACAGTGGGGAGTGTTTGCCGACGCATACAAATTATAGGGGACGCAGGGCCAGACTGATCATTTTCATCTCCGTAGGGGACATTTTCACTTTCAAATATAATAGTGTAATAATTTTAAATATCAGAAAATTCTTAGGCAGTCTTTGATTTTGGTACTATTAAATAAAACCTTTTTTTACGCGTATTTTTATATTGTTCCTTTTTATGTTATATATTTGAATTCAAATTCCATTCTATATTTCATTTCTTTTTACTGCACTTATGTATAGGTTTATTAACGACAATAGATAAATAAACGCATTCACTAAGTCGATGTTTTTAGTACTTTACAGATGTCTTAGTCGGCTCTCTCGCTCTACATGTTAAACTAAGACACTTGCTAAGACCTAACTAAAGAATTTAAAAAGAAGTATTTCGAAATAAGTTTTTCTGAAACGAACGATTCTTAACGACTATATATTGTATACAAGATACGAATAAATTAAACCCGGGTGAGTTTCTTGGCTGTTCTTATCAGGCCATGACGCGTTCTTGCACTCAAAGAGTTAATTTCGATCGCAGAAGACTGTATATATTAGTTTTATATTTATTTATTTGAAGTCTGGGCAAGTTAGTCCAATTTTATTTTTGAATTATGTCACGTAGTTCAGTAGATAGACTTCTCTGTATCAAGAAAGTTGAAAATCTCTAAATCTTTGGGTGTCTTGTAGCAACAAAAGTTCGGAGATCATTGTTAACATCATGGTAAAAGCAAGATGTTATTAAAGAGAGAAAATAACTTAAGAAAAATCTAATCAGTAAAAAGCCAAGCTTTTTATGTTGTACATTGGGACTTAAAATGTATGAAGTTGAATGTTATGAAGTCATGAATCAAAAATTAACAATACAACTCAAATGCAGCTAAAAGCTGACAATTACGAAGTTCAGTGAGTGTTGCGATCCTTTCAGCAAAATCACTTTTATTGTATACAATTCAGTTTTATTGTTAACATATCCAAAATTAAAACCATCCAAGTTGATACAAAGTGAAAATGCGGTCAAATTTCTATACGAAATAAAACTAGATGTAATCCGTCGAAGCAAGCGACCCCGAAATTGCTGCCAGCATTCACCCAGACAAAAGCTCTAAACACCCCGATGGCAAAAAGAAAATTTCCATCCCCTCCTTCATTTAAATTTCCCGCCCAGAGCGGGGCGGCGACATGGGGGTGGCTTCTGCACAAAAGAGACGAAGCTTAACTTACATAGAAAAGAATGAGACGACCGTATGTCCACCTGTTGCGTTATAAGTTTCATATTTTCCCGTTATCTTTTTTCTTTTCTTACGTAAAAGGATTTGAATGGCGCGCCGCGTGCATGCGTACTACGCTTAGGTATCGAATGGTATTGATGCACGTTCGAACTGACAGGTTCCAAATTCAAATTTGATTCTATGCTTTCAGAATACATTTATGTTTTAGTTGAAATTAGAACGATTGGCTTTTTAAAAATTAACAAGTATCCAATTATCATTTGTTAATGTATCGCCATCTATTGTTAAACAACGTAAACCGTTAATTTTACTAACATTAAATGTAGTTAATTTCACATTATAACTACGTTCTTTTTCGTCGTATGCTACAGATAATATTAAAAAAAAATTATTACCATAAAATAGTAGCGTAGTAAAATATATATATACAAACACAGAATATTATATACAAACCCCACTCGAATATTCGTGAGATTTATTTAAAGCAGCGAAATAAAATAAATTGTATATTTGTGATTATTTTTAGCGCAACAGATAGTCATAATCGTTTCTTGAAACATACGTTCAGGATGAAGACAGAAATAAAAATTGTTTGTGTTACTGTTTCCGGTGGGTCGCGGGTTCGACGCCGTTGCACGTGGTCGTCGTGGTTATTACGAACAAATAAAATTACTATTTACAATCCTTGTTTATTTACAAATGAAATGCGTACATTTAATTTATTACATTTATATAAAAAAGAAGTGACGTCGTTTTTTACTATCTTCTAACAACTTGTTTGACTTTTATAAAAATATCTACCTTTAAAAAAATCAATATTTTGAAAATGTTAATAAATATTACTTATATTATTTTTCATCTACGATGAACATTTTTACAGAACAAGTGAAACAGCAGGAGCAACACGAGGATCACCTGATGTTTAGTGTAGCGATAGACACACCCAGCCAGAAAGGTCGCAAGTGAGTTGCCGGCCTTTGAAGTCGCTTTAATATTTGGCTAACAAGTTATACAAACAAAATAAACAAATAATAATTAATTCATTGATGTTTCAGCTTTCGTACATTATATGTAAATAGTTCCTACGTATATAAGTAAAAATAGAAATCAAAACTATAATTCATATAATATACGCGCAATCAATCATCAGTCAACACGACCGCTTTAAAGGGGATTACTCTAAATCTCTTGTATCGTTCAATCTTTTTTGTTTACAAGCCAAACCTATATTGGCAAGATACTTTTGGATAAGCATTTTGTTAATTTATCGTAACGATTGTAAAAACGGATACGAATTCAAGACGTTTCCGATTTCTTGTAAATACATACATTTAAAGTCTCATGTCTTGCTTTAGGGAGATGTTTAAAGGTTTAAACTCAAATAGAATATTATCATTTAGGCGCTTAAACTTGTCGAACAAGAACTTCCAGACATTACTTCTTTTTCCTTCCAGTTCGTGATTACCATGTCTTGCAGGTCCTGAACATTATTACCTTAAAATGTCTGCAGATAGAAATACAGTAATAACCTTTTGTTTTTATGACAAAAACTAGGTGATTTTACATTTTTAAATCTTAATTCGTTGATTGAATTATAAATTATCTAATTTATTATTAATATCGTCTACAGTCCATTATCATGAAGCTAGTAGTAAAATCTATGAAAAATAATATTCGATAAAATCTCAACGATAAAATGTTAACTTTACTATTGAATGATGAGATAAGATAGCAAGAATCACAAGTTACATTATTTAATGTCGTGTTTTTATATCATAATAACAGACATGTTGACAGGTATAATCGAGAAAATCACATGGCATTATCGAATATTTGCCATATCTATCGAGGACTTTTATTTCAAGGAAACGTGCTGTAGCGTCTCAAAACAATTTCATCTAAATTTGACTAGTAATTTAGTAGAATCTCAGTCGGATGTAAAAGTTATTATAATACTTTTGTGAAATAAATTTCTTAATCGATATCAAAAGGGAATTGTTTCTCAATTCTCCTGATCGATTTGGAAATTCCTATTTTTATGACACGTGGTCAGAATTAAAAGTTTTACGACTTCATTTGGTTTCCAGCAGAACTCCTGGCGACTCCAAACGTCAGAAGGTTTTGACAGCTTAATTATTAAATAATATAAATTATTAATTAGCTTAAGCTTGGAGCACTTTTAAAAGCCTCTAAGTCGCATAGCTTCGGAAATTCGTTTGTCAATTAGGCGTCACGTTGTTTGTCCGCTATGGACTCCTAAACCTCTTGACCGATTGCAATCAAATTTGCAAACCGTGTGCAGTTTGTTCTTAACTTAAAATATAGGATAGCATATGATATGTATACATAATTCTACTGTACGTGTACGCATGTCATTGAACTGCTCTTAAACGGTTGATTCACAAATCAGCCCGGCAGAAGACGCTGCCGTACCGACTACTTTCATACTTTGTTTAATATCCTAATCGCTTGAAATATCATGCAGGACAACGTCTGTCGGGTCCGCTAGTTGTATTATATAGTTATATTAGACTTACCATGGATACAGGCAAGGGATGCGCTCCTCCGTTGGGGTAGGGGTAAGGTGCCATGAGGTAGCCCATGTTGAATCCTGCTGCTGGATGAGGCTCGAATTTACCTGCAAATAAAAACACCGTGAGCTTGATAATAATAGATTTCGAAAGTTGACGCCGTGACTTGAAGATGTGATTCTCGGCGGTATGATTGTTAAGTTGGCACAGAAGGATAATACAGTTACGTTTGTAAATGTTTTAGGATAATTAAATAGTAATTGTATGCAGTATTTAAAAATATTGATACGTTTACATGACATGAGTAATTCCTTTGCTCGGTGTAAGCAGAAAGGAATTACGAATGAAGATTTTTCTCCTTTACGTATAAAATCTACTTCATCCTTTAACTCTATCAACTATCTAACGCATATAATATGAAGTGCAAGCACATCCTAGGAACATCGTATATCAATGACACTCAAAGCCTAAAAGCTTCTTAGATTGATATGACCCCACTAGGGGATGCTATCTAGGATAAGACACGTCTGCCAACATCTTGTTTCTACGTATATATATTACGCACGACCATAGATCATAGAAACATGCTAGATATAAACATATTTACATAATTACTTCAACTGATAACAGCATAAATGTCTCTTATATTGGAATAGTAAACCTATGTTTATATATTTGTTACTTCGTATGTTTTAAAATTGTATATTATTAATAGACTTAAAATCAATTAATATCTTTGATTACCAATGAACATTTGTTTATATAAGAAAAAGCCCTATATACATATTGGAATAGTTATCTTATTTACCAACCATTTCAAATTGTATATAATCACAGGTTTGTAGTAGATACTAAGAATAAACGTTGAAAACATTAAACTAAAAACTTTTGTCTGAATAAAATATATTTCCGAACAATAAAATTATATTATTTGACAGTTTGGGTGATTTGTGACTTCGAGTTTTACTCGATCATAATGTGTTAAATTTATTAAATAGAACCGAACAGATCTTGTTAAAACACCAATTTGTTATATATAAACAACTTGGACTCCTATTATTTCTTAGCGAAATAATACAGCAGATATTATTTTAGTTACATAATGTGTAAGGTGATGTGGAATCTAACAAAGTGTTCTGACTATTTCGGTCTGCGGTTTCTCTGATGCGGGTCCATAAGTGTAACTTTTATTTTTTATTATAGAAATACGAAACATATTTGCTTAGCAGTAGACATTTTATTTTCATATTGACATATTATTTCGTAGAAGAACCATCAGATTTGGTAAAAACACAATCACATTTCGTAGGACCATATGATTTAAATTTGGAATCTAATTTTGCGGGCTTTTAAAAATATTTACTATTCCGCAAGTCGTTCAGGAAATCATATATAATTGTTTTACATATACAAAGATTTATAAAGCAGTCGCGAGAAACAGTGAAGCAGAGTTGTCTTTAAAATTAGCTATTTTTAATTTGTAGAGCATAATACGTTGCGTATTAAAAATGTACTACAAGTACAATCGTGGAGATAATTATGCCCGGAGTCATTTTGTTGTGTAATTGCGCGACTGTACATAGTACTGACATATTTTATGTTAGATGCTCTGGGAAATGGAGCGTTATGTTTCATGAAATTTATGTCAAGTTTTCTATTCGTCTCAGTTTTAAGGTTAATAAGAAAAAGTTTTCTTGCTATATTCGTTGTTTAACCTGACTATATAAGGATCATTTCATAAGTTTTTGGTTTGTCCGATGGAACAAACACAGCAGCAGATTTTAGTTGTAAACTTACCAATAAACCGTGAGATCTTCTCAAACACTATAATTTATTTTTTCTAAATCAAGTGTAATGAAATTTAAGTAAAAGATGAAGAGAACCTTAGTTTATGAACTAAGAATCCTACTCGTGAATATGTATTATATCTTTTAACGACCTATTTATATATCACTAGGAAATTTCCTTTCAACACCGTACGAGCCGAGTTGGAGGTCTTCCACAGTCCGTTTCACAAGGCATTTTCGAACTAGCGAACTGTGGAATCGGCTCCCGGGGGGGGGGGGGTCTTCCCTCAAAGATACGACCTCCAAATGTTTAAAAAGCGAGTCTACTCTTTCCTCAAAGGCCGGCAACGCACTCACTAAAAGTGGGTGTCTATGGGCTGCGCATACTGCCCTTTTTGGTCGTCCCGCAAGCTCGTTTGCCCCCCTATTATATAAAAAAAGTCTGATTGAAAAATGGATGTTTTTAGAACAAACGGGCAGGAAGATCAGACCCATCTCAAATACAGAAGGCTCGTGAGTGCGTTGCTGGTATTTTAAGATATGGTACGCTTTTCTTGAACGACGCTAAGTCCAATTGGTTTGGAGATACATCGGTGGGAAGCTGGTTCTACAGTGGTGGTGCGTGCGAAACTGCTTAAAAAAATGCCCAGTTGTGGTACGACAGACGACAAGGTGGAATACTTCAGTGATGTAACTTTAAAAAAAAATAATCTCAGGACTATTATGAATTTAAAAATAGACTATGCCATAGCATTAATAGAACAAAAAACAGCTGAATTCCGACGCAGCCAGTAGCCAAGCATAGACAAACTAAAACGCTGTGTACACACGTATTCACACGATGTTTGTTTAGGTTAGACCTACCGCCGATACTGAGAAACACCCTTGACCATTCCCACAATTTGTATGAAATTGAAAATCACTTCCTATGGTCGATTAGTGGTTTAAATTATACGTTTACTTGGCGATCGCAATTTACAAATTAAATAAAACTTTTTTAACGGATCCCTCGCTAACCACGACTCTTGTCAATTCTGTTCAATACGTCCAGTTAATAATAAGCCGCGCACCACCACTATGTGGAACCAGCTACCCACTGCGGGAACCAATTCGACTTAGGAAAAGTGCGTATCAATTCATAAAAGGCCGGCATTGAGAGTTTCTTAGGGCAGCGGTATCACTTAACATCAGATGAGTCTCCTGCCCGTTTGCCCCCTGTTCTATAAAGGAACTGAGTGATGAGGTCAAAAATGACTTCTGGAAGAGATCTTTTGTGAGCTTCATGATTTTGTATTGTATTATATGTATTGTGTAGCGTTAAAAAAAAAACAAGTTTTTACCGAAAACAATAATTCACACTACTACTACATTTTCATTTGTTTTCGTAACTTTTTCTTTCAAATTGTGTTCATATTTTCCAAAAAGTTACGATATCGAGGTTTTTTTTTACCGTAGTTTTATCGACTGTTTCCCGTTTTTATAGAAGATATTTAAATTATATCCTGTTTTTTATCAAAACGGGATAAGATAAAAGAAAAAAAAAAGATAAAAGAAAAACAAAAGTACCAGGATATCACAAACTATCAAGAGATGTCAAATACCTGAGACCGGACATGGGGCAATCCCGAGATAATTTGGGGTCATATCTGACGCCCCAATATTTATTTAAGATAGGTGTTTATTAAATTACCTGACAAAGGTATTTTGCTAGGCTTATTGCGATAAGATAACATTTTCAAAGGGTCGTAAATATAACATTGGGGCGAATAAAAGTGACTAAATATCGAAGTTAAGAAAGCCTTATTTAAAAAGCCTTTAGAAAGCGTAAATTGTCGACATCTTAGTTACCAAGTTAAGGGTCTCACTGTATCCGCAAATTGCACTTCACCTTCATACGATTCCTGGCAAAAATTGTTAACATGTGATATAGCGGTAGGCTTCTACCGTGCTAGCAAGAAATACTTCATTTTCGACAGTGGCAAATTCTTGACTTTAGAACGAGACAAGTTCATGGATCCGACTGATAGTCCGTGGATCATTAAAAAAATAATTTCTAAGTAAACTTATTGAAGCGAACATAGCAAAGCTCTAACAAATAATGATTTTCAGATAAGCACGGCTACTGGGCAGCTTTCTGCCTTCTGTAAACAGGTTTCATTGTTTTTCGCAGCAACAAGTATGCGGTGACCACACTTTATGGCAAGAAGGGACTTATGAAGTAGTGAGATATGTATGTGAGATAGGTATGGTGTCGTTCGTTAATAATTTTTAAATCCAAGTAATTGTTTTATGGTTTTGGCATGTTGGATTCCTCTCTATGTTGGATTTACCAAATTACAAACCATTTAAATGAATTATAATTCAGTAGCGTTACAACCTTAAATGAGTCTTGGCCTCCAATTCAATCAGTTTCTTTTATCTAATCTAATGTATAAAATTCTCGTGTCTCAATGTTCGTTCCCATACTCCTCCGAAACGGCTCGACCGATTCTTATTAAAAATTTTATGCATATTCAGTAACTAAGAGAACTACTATCTATCTTACAAACCCCCACATGATAAGGGGTGTCTACCCCAAATTTTTTATTTTATTTTTTGAGAAATAATTAATTTTTTTTTTTAATGATACAGCATCGAAATATACATACAACCCTTAATTTTAATCTACCCTCTACGATCAACCCCTATTTTTTATTTGTTAATTAAAAACCTATGACTTGAAGTCTGAGGTTTATATAGAGAAATTACAGAAAAACCTAAAAAGTTTTCATTCCGGAAAACCGAACAGTCTCTGGGGTAGCATAGCAAAATGTTCCATGTTGGTATGTACTAAAAAGGTAGGCTAAGTAAAATCACATAAAGGAGAAACGCAGTTCGCAGGGGCAGCTAGTTTTTATAGAAAAACTAATCAGCCTTTCAAAATCAAGGATTTTTAGACTTGAGACATGCTGGTTTCCAATATGTTTTCTTACACCGTACGAGCGAGTATTCGTTACTCATTGATAGTCCATCGGTGCAACGCCGAGGATCGAACCAACTCCTGTCCATACATATTTAAATAATTATGAAATATATATGAAAACTCTAGATTATTATATATACGTAAAATAAAACTACGGCGGGCTAAGATAAAATAATATAAACAGTTTATTTTGATATAACAATTCGTAAATTCCATTTAATTGGATTGCTAATTGGATCTCTGGTTATTTAATGACTAATTTAAGTTATAATTCTGAGTACGGTATTTATTTTTAATTCCTTTTGAATTTTATAATTCAGACCAAACGATAAGCGAAAAATTGCATCTTAATTAAGAATTCTAATGACAATTGGAGCAAAAAAGCTTGTCACACTTTATAAAGGTGACTTTTATTAGTTATCTTAATATATATATTTCTTGTGTGCGTGTGTATGTGACTGAACTCCTCCTAAACGACTGGACCGATTTTGATGAATTTTTTTGTGTGTGTTCAAGGGGATCTGGGAATGGTTTAGATTCACAAATCAGCCCGGCAGATGGCACTGCAGTCGGTACTTTCATACTTTGCTTAATATCCTAATCGCTTTAAATATCATGCAGGACAACGTCTGTGGGGTCCACTAGTAAGATCTATATATTTATATATTTTTTTAAATGTATTTTCATTGTAGAATATCGATAGGTATTAATTATTGTGGAGTTTTATAGTATTAACTATTAGTAGTAACTGTTAAAATATAATAATTATGTGTTAGTTACATGCTGTTCTTATAATTAACGAGTCGTTATATCTACATTGACTTTTATGAATACGGCTATTAATCTATATATTTTAGATTCTAACAATTCGTTTTACGAATATAGAAACCGGGCGTCTTCAAAATACATCAACACCCTACACGCATGCGCGTAAAAAAACTCGTTAATCTAACAACCTGAACTTAATTGTGAACGCATATCAAGTTCCAATTAGATCTTGAGTATAATGACACAAACCATCAGGTAGCCAGAACGCAAATTGTCAGAGCGAGATGCAATGCTCTTTCGCAATGTGCTAAACAAAGATAACAAGGTATTTCTTATAAGCGTGAGAGCTGGTTGTAGAATTATAGATTTCATACGCTTCTGTTGATTCTTGTAAGGATCTGTTTTGCAAATGCCGTGATTTATGACGACAAATTGTGTTGTCATTTGTTAAATATGTCTTATATGGCAACATATGAATTGCTTTGCTTGACGAATGTACAGAGGACTAATAAGATAAACAGCCATTTCGCTTTAAGCGAAGTAAAATTGCTTTAAGCGCGTTTAGAGTCAATTTTCTAATTACTGCACTAATTAAAACTCTTTACTTAAATTCCAAATATAAAACTAAAGAAGTCCTATATATACCTAATGCTTATAACATCATTGTCCCAAGTACTCTGAGCTTAAAGGTAAGATTCAGTATCGAGACTTGAAAATAAGAATTTGTCTTTAAAATTGTATGTAAAGCGAAGCAAAGCTATAAAGCACTAATAGTAAAACTAAAGCCCACAATGCTTATTAGGTTAAGGTACATTTGAATGATAGCAGTGCTAGTATGGCACATTACAAGTCACAGTTCGCGAGGACAGATCAACCTTCAGTAATGGAAAGCCACTAAAAGTGACAAAATGTTTGAGAACTTCTTACACGCAAAAAGCATCATCGGAAAAACAACTCAATTGCTCTGTTCCAACTGGCTATTTGACCTGTCCACCCCTAAGTTTCCAAGCCTGAAGTGACAGTCTGTCTTCTTCTGGAGGGTTCATCCCAGTGGTACAATCCAGAAGAACCTTCCGCAGGTTTCTGATTAGTATGGGGCTGGATTATGCTCGCTGCTAGACTGTTGTCCTTGAAAATGACTGTCGTCAGACTGTTCTTGAAAGTGCCTTTAAATTATGGAGAATCATAATATAGAATGTTAACAATAAATTAACAAATAATAATCCCACTATTCATTCATTTATCGATTGATTAAAGGTTATAAAACAGTTGCACCGGTCTAAATAAATCTGTTGTTCAGCGTAAACACAATGAGAGAAGGAGAAGACGATGACAAAGTTTTTAAGGGGGTATCTTATAGCAGATATTGTATGTTACAACGCGTTAAACTTCAAGATGTTGAACTATTATGGAAATAGTTGAGATTAAATTATTCAATGAAGTTCAATTTCCTACTTAATTGGATTTCATTTCCAATAAATTATATTTATGGTTATGTTTTAAATTGACCCGTATTTATTTTATATTCTGGTTTGATATATTGATTCTTATAAGAATGTTCCAAATTCTCAATACATGGCATTTTGGAAGTGTATCGGGATATAGGTCGTTATTTTTTTAAAGGAAATTTCTTAAACCACTAAAACTATATATAACGAATTTCAAGGGACCGAGCATTGCTTTTGGTTATATAGAGGGAAGAGAAACAAACGAAATTTAAGCAATTACAATAATTTATATTTATATATATAATAATAAAAGTGACAAAAATTTCCTACAGGCAATGTAATCTAAGAATAATGGCACACGTGTTGATGTTTATGACCTCAGGTGTATTAGAAATTTCGGCACCTCAATAGATTAGTTTTGTAAGGTGATTACAAAAACAATTACACTTAAGTATGTTGTTGATGTCTAAATATGAAAATATTTCTTCGTAATAGAAAATGTCTATTGCGTTATAAAGAGTAAATTAATTTATGGGTTTTGTGTTAAACCAAACAAAAGTAACTCATTTGTTATAGTGAGTTTTTCGATGTAACGAATAACGTTTTAAAGAGATTACACTGTATATACATAAATGTATATTCATAGGCGAGTGGGGGCCTGTCGTTTCGCCTCCCCTACGCTCTTGTTGCCGAGAGTGACGTATTATAGTATCGTCCGGTTGTGATCTGAAGATTATAAATATTTCCAGGTCACTCCTGAAGACTCCAAATACTGGACATTCTATCATGCTTTACTGTCTGACTTGTTTAAAGGTCGCACGTACATATCGGATTTGAGCTTTGAATGTTTGTTAAAACACAATATTTCATATGGCAACACTAACTTACATAAAAGGACATATGTGCACCGAATGGTGGACGACAGAACCCCAAGGTCCTAACTGAACTCACAACTAGTTGGCAAGTGAAAACCCGGTAGACCGAGGCTGCGTTGGTGGCATGGACTTGTCAAGGACCTCGAAACGATAGGTGTTCAAAGTTGGACGCAAGAACGAGACAGATTGCGGTGGCGAATATACTTACGAAGGCTAAGGCCCACAAGGGGCTGTATAGCCATTGATCAAATTATGTTAAGACTTCATTCATTATACATATATGTAACTGGTAACACTAGATAGAGATCAATTATTAAAAGGTAATAAAATAGTGAATTTTTTCCTCACTAGATGGCATTGTAACAAGTTTAGTATTAGTATTATGATTTATTTAAAACATTTATAAACCGATAATTATCTTTAACGTCCATTCACTGGCAATTATCACTACCTATAAGTACATTCCATAACCTAGCATCTAATAATAATTTGTTAACCAACCCAATACCCATAAAATGCCATCAATAACCTTATTATGATAAACTTAATTTCAACCTTATGTCAAAGGCTGAAGGCTGTTAATCGAGTAGG